GGCAGGGGCCTGCTGCGCTCGTGGCGACAGGACTTCACCCCCACACACTGAACTGCCCCCTCTCCCTCAACTGAACGTGCCTCCCACGGGGTATGCCCAGGCTGCCTCCAGGGCTGCACACCCGCACCAGCCCCTGGGTGCCCCGACACTTGCACCAGGGGAGCAGCAGGACTGGGATTACCCCATGGGGCAGGGAAGAGGGGAGAAAGGAGCAGGGCTTTGGGAAGGAGCAGGCTGGCCGGCCACTGCACCCAGGGCTGCATCTTTCCCTCCGTCCTGCCAGAGTCCTTGTCCCTGTGAAGCTAAAATGGATCCCAGCAGCTCCTCTCTGGCTTTTGCTTTCCCTTGGGAAGGAGCCAGGCCCCAGGCTCCAATCAAGCGGATGGGGCTCCCTGGGAACTGGACCACACACCCCTCCTCTTGCCCTTCCCCACAGCCCCGTGGCTCTGAGGAGCAAAGAGAAGAGTCAGCCTGGGACCTCTTGTCCTAGGGGCAGGAGCCGGGGGCATGCTTGGGGCTGGGGGCTCTGGGGATCCCGGCCCCTCCTGCTCCCTGCGTGGGGTCTGCTCCCAGGGCCCCAGTGCTCCCGACACGCCAGACCCGCAGCCCCGGGCAGGGAAAGGTGCACAATCTGTGATGCAAGGGGCTGTGTGAAGTTTGGGGTTCCTCCAGGTCTCAACGTGCCTGGACCCCTGGGCACCACGGAGGGGGTGTCCCCTGCTGCTGCTGGTCTCCGCACCCCTCCATGCTCTTGTCTAGTCCATCTCTGGAAGACACTAGCCTGCGCTGGGCACTGGGAGGTGAGGAGGTGAATCCTGCCCTGGGGTGGGCAGGCCGGTTGCAGGAAAGGTCTCTGCACACCCAGGTCCATCGCTGCCCATCCTCCACCCTCTCTGGCCTATCCCCGCCTGTTTTGGCCCTGCAGACAAGTGGCATTTTCCCGCTCTACCTTTCCTCCTATTCTTACAGAAACAAATGGCTGTGACAGTCATGATGGCTCCTGCTCCCATCACCATCACCAAGGAGACTCTGATCCAAGTGCTGGTGTGAGTGAGTGCTGCGCCTGGGAGTACGAGGAGAGAAGAAGGCAGAGCTCAGCTGGCAGCACTGCTGCAAGGAGAAAGCACGGTCTTACTTGAGATCCCCAAGCCAGCTCCCACTCAGGACCCTGGGCAGCTGCAGGGGCAGGGCACAGGCACAGCCCTTATAGTTTCATAGTTTCATAGTTGGCCATGGCACAAAAGAGTACTGGGGTGAAATGTCCCTGGCTAGGTGATTATCTAGCCTCCTTTTGGAGACCCCCAGGGTAGGAGCCAGCACCACTGCCCTTGGAAGTTGGTTCCAGCTCCTAGCCACCCTGACAGTGCAGTAGCACCTCCTGATGTCTAGTCTGAATCTACTCTCCGTGAACTTATGGCCGTTATTCCTCATTACTCCTGGTAGTGCTTGGAGGAACAGGGACTCCCCCACTGCCTGCTGGTCCCCCTTGGCAAGTTTGTAGATGGCCACCAGGTCCCCTCTCAGCCTCCTCTTGTGAAGGCTGAACAGGTTCAGGTCCCATAGCCTCTCCTCGTAGGGCCTGCCCTGCTGTCCCCTGACCATGCGAGTGGCCTCCTCTGGCCCCTCTCCATGCTGGCCACATCCCTCCTGAGGTGCGGCGCCCAGACCTGGACGCAGTACTCCAGCTGCGGCCTGACCAGTGCCGCATAGA